TTAATGCAGTTTGGGCAGTAATGGACATTTTCCTGATGCATGGAAGGAGCTGGTGCATGGAGAGGCTCCCAGGAACCCTGGGATGGATCAATCCATCATCCATGTGATGGGAAAAGAGCTGCTTGCTCCAGCATCTTCCTTGGCCATGGATAAATTCATGTGTATCTTTATGGGTGTAAGCATAGAAAAAAGGTGTAGGTGTGTGTATATATTGTAGTCAAAGCACGGTATGAATTCAGATCTGCCAAAATAAAGCCTTGTTCAATCAATTCATTAGGTGTTAATAACCCCTTGTTAGTGAAACATTGCTGCCAGAGCTCAAACTGAATTTCAGAGCTGAAGCCTTTTGCTAATCCACGATAATTTCCTTTTATCAGCGCCTTTTAATCTAAAGAAAAGCCTTTTTCTAATTAAAATACTAACTCATCTATAAATTATGTGACAATGAAATGGTGTCAGAGAAAATGCAATAGAATTAGGGAGCTCAATGGGCTGAAGGAGAACTCGGTGCTACTAGAGATAAAATGATTATTCAGAGAGAATAAGCACATCCTGATTTTATTTGGGGTTGGTTTGATGTGGCAGTGGATGCTTGGCATTGATCACAAACAGCACTGAATTGATCCCAGCGCTCCAAGCAGATGTTCAAAAGGATAAACCATCAGCAGATCCCTGGATTTGAAGTGTTTTCCATGTTGGAGGGGCCACAGAGCTCTCCAAACTGCTCATCCAGCCTTGGAAAAGGAGCCTCAGCAGCCACTGGTGTGGGTGTGAAGGTTTGAGGGATGGGGCTGATGGTTTGTGTTTGCCAGGTGGAAACAGAACTTTCCAAATAATCTCTGGTTTTAAGGAGACTCTTCAAAAGCCAGGCTGCTGCCATTGCAGCTGGTATGGAAACACTTTCCCCAGTGTTAGTTTAGTACAGAAGCCCAGGATGGTTTGGGTTGGAAGGAATATTAAGGATCATCCATTCCCACCCCCTGCCATGGGCAGGGACACCTTCCACCAGCCCAGGTTGCTCCAATCCCCGTCCAACCTGGCCTTGGACACTTCCAGGGATCCAGGGGCAGCCACAGCTTCTCTGGGCACCTGTGCCAGGGCCTCCCCACCCTCCCAGGGAGAAATCCTTGTCCCCTCTGGAAGACACAAGACCTGCTGCAGAAAGTGCCATAAACGAGCAGCTAATTAAACTTTCTGACTTCCAGCCCCGCTAATTGTGTTGCATTATGTGCTTAATTCCTACCCTGGAATGAGCATCGCTTTCCTTGCTCGGGAAGAGTCGCTGGCAAAGTGAAATGAGAATTTTATTTGCACTGGCAGAAGGATTTTCAGTTCTGCTCCGCTGGCTCCGCCACTGATGGGGATTAATCTCTCTAAGAACTGCGGAACTCGCCCCGAAAATGGGCAGCAATGGTTTGAAATAACTTCTCAGGCCCTGAAATCCGAGTTCCTGCACTGGTACCACAAGTCAGTTCCTATCTGATGCCAGCCTGGTGTTTGTCACCGAGCCCCTGGGCACAGGAGGGGTCCCTGGGTGGACACAGTGCCCATCAACTCCTGGGCTGTCGTTGGTGACAGGTGGTGGCACCCCAGGGACGAGGTTGGGACTCCAGGCTCTGTGGAATCCATATGTTTTTCTGAGTTAAAGGCTCATTTTGCAGTTCTGGGAAGGCAGCGACTGCCACCTGCCCTTAATCCCTGACATTTTTATAGCTGGCTGTTGCACAGACCCTTTTTTCCCCGGTGTTTTTGGAAGACATAATGTTCTCTGCTCAAAAACCTGCAGTTGTGTAACAGGAAAGGGCTATTTTGATGCTGTTTAAGGCCTGGAGTTGGTTTGTTCCATACAGAAAATCCTGCAGGACTAAGAGGCCGAAGGGACTGAGCAGGTACAGAGCACTTCAAATGATTGTTTCATGCTTTTGTTGGTTTTTCTAGTTTGTGCCAAATGCTCGTCCCATGACTTTGATGGTGAGACTGGCCTGTGCTCACAGGAGGGTGTTCAGGACCAAGGCAAACAGTTGGGCCTAAAAAGTCACTTTTTTATAAAGAGATCAATTAACATTTGGCTGAAGAGTGTCAAAGCAGATTTCTGAGTTCATGGCGTTTCCATTTGTTGTTTATCCCAGGAGAAGACTAAATTCCCCAAATCTGAATCTGTCAGGATAATCTTCACTTGGACATGAGTCAGGGGGGCTTAATTCTTGCATGGGAAAATCCTCCTTTCCTGTAATCAGGTTACATGTGACTTAGGAGGAGTTTTTGTCTTTTACAGGTTCAGGATATTTGAAGTAACAGAGACTTTTTGCTCTGTGGCTTTTCCCAACCTGCAGCTGCATAGAGAGGATTGAATTGACTTTTTAAAGCAAACTGTTGTGTGTGAGTCATGTTTACAAGGTGTGTCTTGGCTGGTGGAAACATGTTTTTAAGGCTCAAGTCATGCTTTTTAGGGAATAAAACCATAAAAGGGGTGCAAGGCCAGGTTGGGCAGGGCTTGGAGCACCCTGGTCTGGTGGAAGGTGTGGGGGGTGGAACTGGGTGGTCTTTAAGGTCCTCCCAACCCAACCCATTCTCTGAAACCCAGCAAAATGATGTGTGTGCCTGAACTTGCAGTGCAGTGAGGATCCACCTCATGGGTGATACGAAGTTCTTTGTTGCCCTCAAAGCTCCATCAGCTTGTTGAATCCAGGAGCTGCTCACTTGTGCTGTCATCAGTCAGTGCTCTGGAAAAGGCAGGAACTGATGGGGTGAGGGGCTCCTCAGGGAGGAGGAAAGGAGATCCAGAGGAGATGCAGAAATAAAACCCACACTGAGATGGGACACTGACTGATCCCTTACAGGGGGGAGCCAACCTGTTCAGTGCTGGATCTGTCAAAGGGTGCAGGTCCTGCACTTTCTGGATTTGTGTGTAGTGGTACCATCCCCCTCTCTTTGTTTATTAAAATTCTTCTTCCTCTGTTTTTGCAATAAACTGTAGTGGCAGAGCCTTCTGGTGGCAATCCCATCACAGTCATTGGCATCTGTAGAACTGTGAGAACTCTGTTAGTTCTGTGTTCCAGAGCACAGCCACGTGGGCACGGGATGATCTGTGGTCCTGGGGTCAGCCAGGAATGATAAAGAAAGGAAAGATGGGCTATTTCTAATATATGTTATAAAAATGACTGTTACTGGGGGGGCGTGGTAAAACATTTGAAACAACCATATTTATTAAAATTGCAATTACAAATGAAATATTACAGGATTGGCCACTGCAGGGTTATTATTCTAAACAATTTTCAGGCTGTGAGAATGATCTTGATATTTAAGTGTTTTCATTGCATCAGGATCTGGCACAAGTCCTTGCTGGGAATGATTTTTCACTGATCCAGGCTGGTTTGCAGCTGGTGGGGTGTTGTGTGTGCACAGGTGGGATTTTTGGGGGGGAGGTTTGTACAGAAGTTGGCATGGGGTTGTTTGTGTGAAGGGGCTGCACATCCAGTGGGATGGGGGCAGGAGGGGGCTCCAGGCTGCCCTTATCTCCCTGAATCTCCCCCATTCCTCCTGCCTGGCACAGCTCCTGTTCCAGCAGCCCCCATGGGCTCCCAGGGAACGTGCTGGAAATCCCTCACCCTCATCCAGGGTTTCCTTGTGCACAGTGGCACCTGTTTGCCCTCTCCAGGTCTCCTGGGATGGATCAGGAGGGGGAAGGAAGAGAGCCAGAGGGGTTTTTAGCACCTCTTTCCGTGCAGAGATGGGAGGGTTGATTCCTTGCCTTCATTCTGCTCCCCAGGGACTCTGTTGGAAAACCCCACCCCGACCTTTACCTCTGTTTTCCACACCCCTTGTTTAAAGATTCCTGGGATGGTGGATGTGCAGCTCAGTTAGAGAGCTGGTTGTGTGTTGTCTGTCTGGTTCCCCACCCTGGACCTGCTCAGCCTTTCCCTAAAAAACCCAGATTTATCGCTGCCTCTGAGGTCATTCCCTGCCCCGTTGGGCTTTTATTGCAGGAGATGCACAAGAACAACCCCCCATCTTTAGTGTCAGAGCCCAAATTTAATTTGTGGGACAGGGAACTATAAATATAATTTATGTAAATGGAGGGGCAGGGGGTGCTGACCCCCGGAACTGCTGCTGAGTGGTTTTTCAAATCAGCCTTTCACTGTAATGGGCACGAGAGTTTAACTTGGAAATGCAATACAATAATCTCTGCATAGAACTTATTCTCTGGTTCTCTTTCTCTGATCTGGCAGGAGCGTGTTTAAAGACTTTTACTAAACCACTTCTATTTTAGTTAATTTTATTCCAAACAAATGTTGTGCAGAATTTCATGTCTTTTAGAATTCAGGCTGTTAAAACATGTGGAAAATCCCATTTTTCTAGTACTAGTGGTCAGCACTGCTTTGTGACAGACCCTCTTTACCTTTTCCCTGTTCTTTATTAAGTCTCTTGATCTCCTCTAGATTTGCAAGGATAAAAGTGGACTGCTTGTTTTTGGCTTGGGCACCATTAGCTTTGCTCTGCTCTTTTGTGTTGAACACCGAACCTGTTTGCTCCAACACTGAGAATCTTTTGAAATTGAAATTTTACGTCAAAGGAAACAATTACTGAACACAGCATTTGTGTGTCCAGTTCAGATATTTAGAGTTAAGTATCTTAAACCCTGATGGGCTCTGTGTACCTCTCTGTGGTGATCTTTGCTTTTCCACAGCTGCTCGTTTGCTTCCTATAAAAAAACCAAATTAATAAAGTAGGAGAAAAGGAAGTGTTTTAGAGTATCAGGAATGTGCCTCGGTGCTCACACACTTTTAAGTCAGCCTGTGCAGATTGAAAGTTTAACCAAGAGCCATCTCCTTTGTAAAGAATGCAGATAATTTTTTTTTTTCCTGGCAAAAAAAAAAAAAAAAAGAAAGAGTAACCTGATATGAGTCTGACAGTGTCGTTTAGTTAAGTGCTTCCATCTGTTGCTTGCTATTTCCCTTACTCATGACCTCTCTTTCTCTCTCCCCCTCCTTCTCCTTCAGCCCCTTTGAGGAAAGCAAAGTTTGTGGAGAGCCCTCGAATCCCAGAGTCTGAGCTTGGCTCCCCAACCCTCTCTGCAGCCCAGAAGCTGGACGTTGATGCTTTCTGCCCTGGTAAGCCCCTTGCGAAGGCTCTGCGGGAACAGGGAGAGCAGGCCAGTCCAGCCACAAGGATTTTTAAAATATCACTTTGCCCAGGTGGTTGATTGGACCTCCCCCAGCCCCAGTTTCACTGGCTTGGAAACTTGACTAAGGAATAATTTGGAATTGTTGCCCATTTGTTTCTCTCAGTCCTGTGTGTGGCCGCTCTCCCCTCGGAATAATTTAGAGAGGATAAAAACGAGCCAGTGAGTGCACTGCTTTAAATTTAATTTTTAATGCTGCTCTGCAGAGAGGCTGCAATAAAACCACATTTCAGAAATATCATTAAATCAGCTAAAAAGCCAAAACCGTGGGACCTTGTAACCTGCAGCCAGGAATATCGGGGGGGGGTTGGTTTTTTTTTACTATTATTTTATTTTTAAAGAAACACTGTTTGATTTATGCATCCTGTAGTAGTTGCTCTGAAAAGTATTCATCTTGCTCGAGGCCTCTGGTTGAAACATAAATAGAAGTGGGTCATGTCCCTTCCTGGCTTGACCCCGTTCTCATCCATGGGCTCCGAAATCCCCCCTGAGCCCAGGCAGAGCCAGCAGATGTGTGAGTGAGTGCCTGGAATCCCGGCCTCATTTCCCACATTTCTTCCTAACTTGGAAGTTGGGCAACCTGGGGAGGGCTGGAAAGCAGCAGCAGCCAGTGTTTGGGTGGGTTTTGTGGTGAATCCTGCACTTCCCTGCCCTGGCTTTCCCTCCTTGTGAGCCGAGGGGATCCGTGCTCACTGCAGGCTTTGGATGTGTTGAAATGGTGTGCAAATGTGGGACATGTGCCTCTGAAATCTGCAGCTACAGTAGCCAAGGTCATGCTAATGAATGGCTCTGTGGAATCAGGGGGTTTATTTCCGTGGCTGGTGAACTCGTGGAAGAGCTTCTGGAGCACCCAAAATTGGAGGGATTAATTGAATGGTGTCCAAATTTTTGAATGTGGGCTTGCTTTAATGTATTGTGTCTGAAAGAGGAGTTGTCTTAGGAAATAAAAAGATAGTCTCTGTGCTTGGCAGTGCCTCCTTTGAGGCCACAGTTGCCTTGAAAAGTGCTGCTCCTTTTTCAATCACCGTGAATTACAATTAAAATTGTGCTGTTGCAGCCCTTTTTTTCCTGACTGAATGGCTTCCTCTCTCATGTTTATAATTGTTAATAATTATAAACTTATTATGATTGCATCCACAGAGAATTAGAATGGAATTGCAAGTTTGGCTTGAAAAGCATCAGTTCCACATTCCCGTGCCTGCACGTGTGTCTGTCTCCCTCTGCCCCAGCTTTGAAGGGCAGGACTCCTGCCAAGCCCAGGGCTGGGCTCTGGCAGTGGGATCTGCAATTCCTTTAATGTCTTTTTTTTGCTGTTTGATTTCCTCTTGCTGATAGTGGAGTGATCTGAAAGGAAAAGGGGAGTCTTGTACTGCCTGGAAGTGTCGTTAAAGGAACATGAAGGAAGGGGGAAAAGTGACAGCAGGGGGGTTGTCCCAGTGGAGTCAGGGAACCATTTATCTTGGAAAAGACCTTTAAAATCATCAAGTCCCACCATAAACCCAACTGTGCCAAGGGCACCACTAAACCACGTCCCCAAGTGCCTTGTTGGTGTACTTGGAATAGGGAGGAGTCTGTTGGGGAAGGGTTTCTGAAGCTGTTCATGGAAGGAAGGTGCCTGGATCTATGGAAGGTGCCTGGATCTATGGAAGGTGTCTGGGTCTATGGAAGGTGCCTGGGTCTATGGAAGGTGCCTGGGTCTATGGAAGGTGCCTGGATTGATGGATCCTGCTGGGAAGGTGGCAGTAATGTGAGAGCTGGAGGTTTTGCTGGGCTGGAAGGCTGGATTGAAGGAGCTCAGGAGGTGAGCCCTTGGAAGGAAGCGGGTGGCTGCAGGGGGATCCTTGTGTAAAGAAGAAAAGAAAGAACAAAGATATGGACAACTTGTAGGGACCAAAGGACTTTGAGTCTGGGTGTAGGGTCCAGCTCCTGATGGGAAGGTGGAGGAAGAGGGGCTGAGTCCTACCCTGGACCACGGCAAAGCTTCAGGCACTGCCTGCAGTCAGTTTTCCAGGGAAATACAGCTCCTTTCTTCAGTGTTAGGCTTAGTCTAACCCTCTTCTAAAACGTGTGTGTCCTGTGAAGGATTAATTAGCACACAGGGCTAAATCCTGAGCATCTCCAGGAATGATGGTGTGAGCTGAGAGAAGGAAGAAAATCAGGCTGAAGGTCTGCCTGGCAATGGAGTGGAAGTGGAGTGGTTTGTAACGTGATCCCTGACAAGAAATGTAATTAATTATATGCTTAAAGGCAGTTTAAAACCCTAACTAGCAAAGAAAAGAGAACATTATCTGCTCTGCACCCAGGAATGACGGTTTCAATTGGAGATGCCGAGAGGTGAAGTTTTTGCTCAGTCCCAAAAATGTTTATTTTAAGGCTTCAGGCAAATTTCAGCACATTCCAGGGAGGTGGTTTCCTGAGCAACCACGGTGCCACCAGTGGCCTCTCGTGCTCCTGGGGGGAGGATTGGTTGTGACATCTCCAGGGTGAGTCAGTGTGTGTGGGGTGACGCGCTCCCGACGTTCCAGCTTCGAGGAAAAAGAAAGAACATCAAGGTGCTGAGTGTCTTTTGAGGGAAGTTTTAATAGCAAGGATGTGGTTAAAGTTTTAAGCTTGGTATAATTTCTTTTTTTTTTTTTTAAATTACATTCGTTGTTTAGAGGAAAGAGTGTAGGTGGCTAAAAATTAATTAAATCTTTTCAGGTGAAAGCAGAAATTGGCCCACATTTTATAGTTGTTGCATGTCACATGATGACAAAAAAGCCGTTTCACGGCTTTGAGAAACCCATTTGTACCAGAATTATATTTCTGTGAATGTTCTTGTGATTGCAGTGCTTGTTCAGAGTTCAGTCCAGCACTTTCTGCCTTGGAGTGTCAGCGGAGGAGAAGGAATTGGTTCCTTGTTTCTACCCTGGGAGGGTGGGGAGGCCCTGGCACAGGTTGCCCAGAGAAGCTGTGGCTGCCCCTGGATCCTTGGAAGTGTCCAAGGCCAGGTTGGACAGGGCTTGGAGCAACCTGGGCTGGTGGAAGGTGTCCCTGCCCATGGCAGGGGTGGCACTGGATGGGCTTTAAGGTCCCTTCCAACCCAAACCCCTCTGTGACTCAGTGACTTAACAGAGACTTTATTGAGAGGATCTGGAAGGTTTCTGATCCTCCCTCCTTGTCTCTCCTGATCCTGCAGACACTGCTCAGCAGAGGTCTTTGTGTTTTCCTTCCTGTCAGCCTTCCAAAGGCAGTGGGACCCTTGGGATGACACCCCCACAACCATCACTGCTCTTCAAGGGGGAGAAGGTGGAAGAGCAGCAGTTGTAGACCTTCAACCCTCCATTGTTCAACTTTTAAACCTCCTCTGCAGTGGTTCTGGTGACTCAGTGTAGCGTGTAGGTTTTTCCCCCACTTCACCACCCCCACTCCCTTAGTTGTGGTCACGAGGGCATCTTCCTTTGAGCTGCTTTTTGTTACTCATGGTGGCTAAAACATGTTTTGACTTCTGAGTGCTCAGGAAACCTCTTGGCAATGGTCAGAGATGGATGGTGCTTTCAGGTAACAGCCCTTTGCCTCGGATTAATGTTTGCAGTTGCATTTTGTGTGATTTATCACCTTGGCGCCGTGTTCCAAAGGCTAAGTGTGTTATGACATTATCTTTTAATTTGATTAACTCCTCCTTCAGAAATTTTGGGACACAAATGTTGAGTGTCTGGTCAGGGGCTGTTTGCTTGTTCCACGTTAGGTTGGCAGGCATCTGTTTCCAGCCCTGATTGAGTTAGGAACCACGGACAGGGAGGGGTGATTTACCATCTCAGCAGCACTTGTGTTCATCTCATCACTCCTTCTTTCTCTTCCTTTGGTTGAAGGATCGTTGAGGTTGCTGTCTGCTTGCTGCTGCTGCTTTCTTATCACCATGTAAAATGTGTATTTCTCGTTTTACACGATCCACACGCTCCCCCTGAACGCAACAAAACATCTCTCAGGTGTTGCAAAAAGCTCTTTCAGAGGGAATGCAGGAACCAGCATTGTGCTCTGATGTTTCCTGGTGAAAATACAGGCAGTGAGGCAAAAATACCCACAGAATTTCAGCCAGCAGGATGCTGCTCCCACCTCTGTGCTACTGCACAGCGATGGGCTGGGGGAAGGAGAGGGAACAGTCAAACCAGCCGTGGTCTGACAGAGGGTTTTACTGCTGAATCTTGTGGTTGTCCCAGCATTACCAAGCCCACTGACCTGAAGGGAATGGGAAATCGTTGTGATCAGCCCTCATTGCAGGAGAGCAGTAATTTGGCACATCGGTTGCCATGGCAGCGATTGACTTTTCTCCAGCCCCTCTTGGGACATTGCTGGTTCCTTCTGCCATATCAAGGGATGGAAACAGCTTCAGAATGAACTCCTGGATCGACAAAACAAGCCCCACCCTGGTCTGAAGTTCTGGTTCTGAGAGAGGAATGCTGAAGGCATTGGTAGAATTCCAGGTGTGAATCCGTTTGGGATTGGCCACAGACCACCTGCTGTCAGGTATCATCAAGTCTGGAGAATAGTGACTGGGTTCAGAGTTTAGGGTTTATTGAATCTTCTTGTCAAAGGGGAGATGCTCAAGAGAAGAAGTGAAAATAATATGAATCCCACAGATTATTGCCATATGTTCTAACTGTTAAATATTTGGAGATGTCATGGTATTCTTGAAGCTTCCTGATGTGATCTGTGAACAACCAGCTTCCCTTACAACCCAGGGTTTGGGTTCATCTCCCTGGGAGAAAAATAAAAAAAGGGGAAAAGGAGGGGAAAAGGCTCTTAAATGATCCACATTCCATTAATGGGAAGAACTTCAAAGTGTCGTGACTGCTGCCAAAGGTGTCACCTGGATGTTGTGTTGCACATCAGGTACTTCAGCAACAGAAGTTCCTGCAGCCTCCACCTCTGGCTGCCCATCCCCATGGA